ATAGAAATTTGACTCCTCCATTGAAATAATGCTGGAAGGATCTGGGGGGAGTTCTGCCCTTTTCTTTGTTTCCCAATGAAGGCACTCTTTTGAAAATCCAAAATGTAGACATGTTGTCCTGAGTTTAAAGCATTTGCTCACAGTTCTTGAGGGTGGAGTTGGAGGACTCATGTTTTATCTGAATAATAATTGTTGGAGTCAAAGGGGAGAAAGAGACAGAGACAAAGAGAGAAAGAGACAGGGAGAGAGAGGAGAGAGTTCCAGGCTTCAAATGGAGAGTTGTGAGTCCTGAAAAATGAGGACAGTAAAAGTACCCAGAGAGGAGTATCTTCTTGCTTTTATTTGCTTTGGCTCCAGGGACTGGGATCACTCTGACAAATGAGTCCCACACTGTGAGTGTTCCTGTTGGCCTTTTGTAAGGCAAACACAGGACAGTTGTCAAGGGGCTGGAGAATATTCACATAGCCCATCTCTCTGGTCCCTCTCACTAAAGATCAAGAGATCTTCCTCCTGTGCTTCCTTCTTAGCACAGCTCACTTAGCTCTGGCCATGTTTGGGGAGCTGAGTTGGTGAAGGCCTCCTCCTGGGACTGCTTGTCCACAAGACACAGGTACCAAGAGGCAGAGAGGTGTCACAACTGCAAACAGAGACCTGTCTCAGGGCCACAGCCATGGCAAGAACATCTAGACCTATCCAGAAATGTGCCGAAGTAAGGTGGCCTGATGCTGGTGCTTATGTCCCCATAGTCCTGTGCTTGTCTCAGAAAATGAGAGCTGGTTTGCAGTGTGGTGTGCTCTACTCTTTCCCCCGCTGTCAGCTTTATTCTTCTGTTTTCATATGCTATTTTTTTGTATCTATGTATATGATTTCTCTTCCTCTCCCTTCATCCCTCCATCCTTTCCCCACCCCATTTCTTTCTCTCTAACACACATGCATACACATTTGGGGGAAATTTCAAGGTTTTTTAGTGTGTGTGTGTGTGTGTGTGTGTGTGTGTGTATGTGTAAATACATACATCTACACACACATGTATATTTATACACACGAAAATTCAGCACACGTTTGTGTCATAGAACTAACCCTATCTTTGTATTCGTAGCCTAAAAGTTCCTTGTGTTCCTAGAACTGTGCTTAGAACAGGGAGATGCCCAAGCAGAGTTCACTAAACTACATGGAATCTGACTACAAGTGGTTCAGGTCACCTGGTCTAATTATTCGTTTTTGTTGCTATGTTATTTTCCAGGCTTTATCATGACTAGATACTCTGTGTCATCATAACAGTTGTGGATGTGACAGAACTCCCAACAGAAACAGTCCACTCTTCTGGTGCCTTGCGCTATAGTCAGATGACAAGAAACGTTTATGGTGCTTCTGCATTTCAGCCAAGGAAAATAGGTGGTTATGTTGCGTAGTAAGCGACGTTATGAGCAAAAGCAAACACCAAACCCATATCTTCATACACAACCATCCAGTGTCAGCCTGCAGGTTTTCTTGGCAGACAACTGAGAATTTGGGATCCAGAACCTTGCCCCTGTAATGTCCATCTCATACAAATACGGAGAAACCTGGTGTAACAGCATTGTTGGGAGTCTAGGGCCCTTGCATTTTTTGGGTCCTGAACAGCTGATGGAGGGACTCTATAAATAAACAGGGCCATGACTCATTACTAGGATCTGCAAAGAGTGAATCACAGTGTCTGAGTTGGAATAGATTCTGCAGCACGCAAACTTACGGTTTGCCCTTTCTTTGGTTTGAAAAGGACACCAGCTATTCAAATCAAATTCCATCTGTGCTGCAAACAACAACAAAAACACTCTAGAAAAGAATCAAGAAATGACTTCCCGCGTCTTGAAATTCTCTCATTTCTTCTTTTTAGTGACCCTGTCAGGCTAACCTTAAGCTCACTTGTTTAAACTGTCCAGACAGAGCTTTGCATTTAAAGGCCTTATGACATAAGACTCATGAGAAGGGAGTACAGTAGACATTGTAGGAGGACAGGAAGGCCACCTTTAAATGTAATGAGCAGTATTCCGCCGGGCAAAATAGATGCTTGTATTGACGTTCGTAATTTTTCAAAAACTATTCTATTACTATCGAACTTTCAAAGTATCTGAGGTTTGATGGTTAAATGTATTACAAAGCAGACACAAGAGACAACAGGAAGACACTTCTGTGTGCACAGTAGTCGTGACATATTTCTGTTTGCTCAAGACTCCTTTAATTGGAGGAGGCTTCAACCCACTAAAACACACATGTAAACATCCAGACAGCTGCATTTTCATTTCCTGTGGACTGGACTGCAGCACACCAGGACTGCATTCACGTCAGAGGCTGATTTTTGTAGTTGTTTTGCAGAAGAACATGTTTTGTTTCTCCTCTGTGCCCTTCTGCAGTGTATGCTCCGTTCTCTCATCCCTGACTGATTTTCTGGCTTACACATCTTGCACACAATCCAAATTGGCTGGGAGTCCCCACACTACTTTAGTCTTCAGTAATGCCTCTGACTAGAAGCCTCCCTTGAGGCCCTTTATTTGAACCAGTCAAAATCCAGCTAACAGTTTCAGAGACATTGTTCCTAACTCTTTAAGCTTAAGTTACTGTCTGTCCCATCAGTGGGCTGCTGATATTCTAAACCTTAAATTCCAAGGCACAGACTCTGCCTTCTCATGCACAGAAGACTTTGCTTTGGTGGGAACCAGCTAAGGCATTTAGTAGAATGTGAGTTGGTGATTTTGGGGCTATCACTGGGAGGATCCCCCACCGAAGGACTCACTGAGTCCTGATTGATGACTGTGACTTTTTGCTGTGAAAGGGCACAAGTGCAAACTAGCAGGTGACAAAAGGCGCTGTGGACACAGCATCTGTTTGCCTGATAGAGAAGTGACCTTCTATTCCTCCCAATATGTCTCATTCAAGCCACCTTTAATTCCTTGAGTCACTGGCTATGAAACACAAGCGTCTGGACGATGTACACCTCTGTTTACATTTTTATCTCTAATTAATTTCTACTTGTTTTCTGTTAGTAGAGGTGTAGAGAAGGGGACAACATATTCAAGTAATATCACCCTTCATGGAGGCCCAGTCAAGTCTTGTCTATGGATTCTAGAGCCTAGGTCTTACACATGCCTACTTCTAGCTAATGTGCTTTCTGTCCACTAGGTTTCCCTGATTCATCACGATATTTACAGCTTGTATACAAAAGCTCAATGAATTCAAAAGCACAGTGTTTGTCTTCTTTTGTTAATTTACCCCATGCTCAAGCCCTTTCTGCTGTGTGGAAGTTATGGCAAGGTATCTGACTGTGGTTCACAAACTTCTTGGGCTAAACCATAGCTATCCCATGAGCTGCTCAACTCCCAACTCCCTTGACAATACACCACCCTCATAGTGTCTCAATTATATACTGACTGAGGATGAAGACACCGTTTTTCCATTTCTCTGTGTAGTCTTGGCTGTCCTGGACTTGCTTATAGACCAGGCTGGCCGCGAGCTCACAGAGATCCACCTGCCTCTGCCTGTCAGAGTGCTAGGGTTACAGGCTTGTGCCACTGTGCCCTGCTCCACTTTTTGTTTTTGTTTATTGATGAGAAAGTCCTTGTATATTTATATTTGGGTTGTTCACGAGGTAGATCTCAACACTTTCTACAAAAAAAAAGTCAAATTTGAGACAGAGATGAACTAAAGAGGAGCAGCCTTAAACGTCTACACATCATTTTACTTTCTGTCTTTATTCCTTGGCATTATTTTATTATCCCTTGCCTGTTTAATGCTGCCAGAAAACACTGTGCCCAAATGGACAGCACATCTCAGCCTTTGCTCTGAAAGAATCCACTATTTCCTCATCGAATGTGTTGGAGCTGTAGGGGGTTTCAGGAATGTTTTTTTATAGATAAGGGAAAACTTCTTGGTCTAGGTTACGAAGAAATGTATGTCATGATGGATGGTGAATATTATTCAGTAAATCTTTGTAACTGCGGACATAGTATTTGTTAATAGTTTGCATTACATTGCTCGCCACATGTTAAGGCTACCTTGCATTTCCAGGATAAACCACACTAGTCCCAAAACAGCTTTATTTCCTCTCTGGTTTCCTTTTGATAGTAGCCTAACTTCTTGTCTGTGTTTGTAAGAGGCACGGATCTATGCTCTTCTTGAAGCTGCCTTTGTCTTCTGTTGAGCTCTGAGTCAGAAAAACGCCATCATCGGGAAAACTAGGATTGCCACCTACACTCAGCCAACCTAATTTGCACACTATCACTTTTCCTCAAATGTTTGCTAGCGTTCAGTAGTGGACTATCTCCAAAGCTTTCTTTTGGTTGAATTTTGAAAACATACTTTATTTTTGTGATGTGTGTCTGCTTGGCATGTGTGTATGTTCACCTGTGGGTATGCTCATGTGTGTGTATGAGAAAGCACATGTATGTGAAAGCCATAGGATGGCTCTCGGTACTTTTTGCAATGACTACCAGTCTCATTTTCTAAGGTTTGTTCCTGAACCTTGAGCACACTCATTTCTCTGGCTCGCACATTCAGTGAGTGCTTACCTGCATTCTTCAGCTTTGGGATGACAGATAAGACCCACCATGCCTGGTTTTTGGGTGAGGCTGGGGATTTGAACACAGCTCCTCACAATTACAGAGCAGGCATTTCCATGTCTACATCTTTTAAAAGCCTCCTCCCTGGAATTCTCTTCAATTGCTAATTGGTTTGGGGGATACATTTTTCCTGAGTCCAGTTCCACCTCTTCTAAGAAATTCGCCAGCTTTATCTGTCTTTGTGTTCGTTGACAGTGATGACCAGGGTCTGCCCTTTCCTTTGTGTCATTCCATGGGACATGCATGTAGGGCCGCAGGGCAGAACAAATCATGCATTCTCACTGTGGAATCTAGTCCTGGCTGCAGTGTACTGTAACTGACCATACCTGAACACGCACAGATTTGAAGGAAAAAGAAATATTAGCTGATTTTTCAGTTTGATCTCTGTTGTTCCAATCCAAACAGGTCTATGGAAATGCAAGACCTAGCAAGTCCTCATGCCTTGGTTGGAGGCAGTGATACACCCGGAAGCTCTAAGCTGGATAAGTCCAGTCTCAGCAACACTTCCGTCACAACAAATGGGACAGGAGGTGAGTGTCATCCCACAGGTGTGCAGCATGAACTCGAAGCTTCGGGTTTGCTTCAGGTTTACACGTCAGGGGTTGTTAACCAACAGCTATCCTGCTAGAGATGCCATGATCAGAACTATAGACAAGGAAATCCGGCTAATACCTTATTAGTGTTCTACGTACCTTGAAAGCTCACTCCCTTATCTATAGCTGTGAGTATTCACAGAGAATATATAGTCCTGAGAAATATAACAGTTACCTTTTTCCTTGTAAATATTCCACAGAATTTAAAAACTCTGGATAAAAGATATCGTCACATACATATGTGTGTAAATCTGAAAATTCTATATTTGTTTTAATTTACATTTTAAGCCAAAGTATTACCCCAACACTTTTCATTAAAATGGTATTTGTTGCAATTGATTTAAAAGGCAATAAAATATTTATATCTGCTGCATTTAAAAAAAATAGAATAATACTATGGCACCTAGCATTGATGTGAAGGAGAACTGTATTTTCCAGATAATTTTCTCATTTTATTAAATCATAATTACACCACAAATTATGATAACACTAAGTCATTACTTCAAATATTCTCCATTATTATTATTTTAAGAAATGTAGTCAGGTTGTCAAAGCATAGGATCTAACTGTGTAAAATATGTATATTTAGAGACACACAGCTTATGCACGCACACAAGCAATATGTAAGCTGTATTTTAAATTATTCACCATCATGTTGATTGCAGATTCAGATTCAGCCTAGGAACCAAAGTCAAATTCATGCAAAAATCTGTTTTACTTAGCAAACTGCTCATATTGCTGGATAACAACATTTGCCACATCATATTTTCTTTTAAATTTTAAATACGTATCTGTGAGATTGATACACCCCTTCCCAATTAATCTGAAGTCCACAGTTTTCTTCGTCACGGTGTGTGCATTGCAACCTATGCTGCGTTTAATAGTGTGTTACACCAAACTCCTTGTAGATTAACCCTTCCCTTGTTTATTTGCCTCTAAACACGCATCTATAATTCCAGCTAATTAATGGATATTGGGCTGCAAGGTTTTAGGGACATTTAGTCAGAACTACTGGAGCAATAACATTGACCTTGAATTCAAAGCTGAGTACAGACAATCAGATTGAAAAGTTCGAGCACTCTGAAAGCAGAACTGGCTTGTATGCCTCATACATTTATTTCGGAGCACTAAGGCAGGCCTGATACACTAAAACGCAGAAGGCTCAGTACAGTTAGAGTCCTGGTAAAAAGCAAACCGGTGCCAGCATTGAAGATTACTCAGGTCCACTCAGCACACCTCCAGACAATGAACTCTATACTGTTCCTGTTCTTAGGGGACAACATGACTGTTTTAAATACAGCAGACTGGCTGCTGAGTTGCAACACCCCCTCTTCCGCAACAAGTATGGGAGCCACTGGTACACGGCATGCGTTTGGGTGTGTGCATTTGACCTCTGGTTTGCTGTCTGCTGCTGCCTCTACGTTCGCCCCTCTTTCCTATGTTCTATACCTACAAGCAAAAAATGAAAAGTAAACAAGCCTGATAGCTGTTCATGGTTGGCAGTTGGCTTTGATTATCTTATCATTTATTACTCTAATCTTATATGCTTAGATCAGTGGGATTTTTTCTTATATATTTTTCATAATTCTGCACCAATGGGGATTATATTGACTTATAGCTAATTATCAGATTCTTACATGGTTCTTTTAGCCCAACATAGTCAGGTCAACCAGAGCAGCCTAAGCCAATAAGCATGTACAGAAACCTAAATAATCACCCCCTAAAGTCCCATAGTTTAAATTCTTAATACTGAAGCAAGGGTTTTTCTATTTTATATTTTTTGATACATGTTCCAAAGAATTTAAAATAGAATTAGCATTCAATATCCTACAGCTTTAAAAGTTACTGGTAATGATCGCTGAGCTTATAAAATCATTAGCCCGAGTCAGTGAAATATGCTTGTAATTCCAGCTGCTTGGAAGGCTGAAGCACAAAACTCATAAGTTTAATCTAGCCCACATTGTAAAAGCCAATCCTAAATAACTGAATAAATAAATAAATAAATAAATAAATAAATAAATAAATAAATAAATAAGATTATAAATTAAGTCTCTTAAGATGGTTTAATCCATTGATATTGACTGAGTTCATGCATACATGTAGACATTCTTCTAGAATAAATGCTAATATGCAATCAATAGTTAAAACAAAGCAGCCATACTCCTGAGCAACTCCCACTTAGAGTTTATATGGAAATATAGGTCACATCTAGGAAGGAGAATAGATACCGTTTGGGTGGACATTGATCTATTTCAGATTAAATTAAAATATGTGACAAAAGCGGCATACTATTGTGTTCGTTATTTATATTTTCATAGTTTGAGTTGCAAATATTTTCCATTTTCATGCTTGAAATATACTTTTCATGCTTAAAAATTGTTGCCAGAAAGTAGTTATTCTTGATTCTTTTTGGTAAAGAGCCAGAGAATAAAAACTCTTCCATGATGGTCAGGCAGTCATTTGGTATGTTCCAACAACTCATCTCCACTGTTTATAAGCAAAAGTATCTCTAGGCTGTATGTAAATTAAGGCACCTGGCCCAGTTCCAACAAAACTGTATTTCTAGACCCTGAAATTTAAATTTCACATGCTTTTCTTCTGTCACAAATATTTTGTGTAAAAAAATTCCGATTTTGCTGGTTTTTTTTAAAGCAATTACATTGTAAAATTCACTTACCATCACTGATATTTGTTCTAAATTGGTTACAATATAATTATGTGTGATGCAGTGTTACAGAGGAATGAACATTTCATTCCGCCCATGTCATCTCACACAGAAGCATCTTTCTCCTGGCTCCTAATGCTGTGCTCAGGTGGCATCTGTAAGGGCAAAGATATGCACAGCAGAAGCACCGTGAATCTGGACCATAGCACTCAGCCACACTGACTGGCTATGTCGCCTTGAACAAGGCCCTCCTCCTTCCCAAGTTTTAGTTCCTTTAAGTTAAAGGAAGATTGCAGCCTTCCTTGCAGGTATCTTTGTTATCAAATAGATAGGTTGGCAATAAAAATCACTATAGTTTTCTTTGAATAGATAATTCCATAATAATTAGACAATAGTTTTTTGAAGGAAGCTGAAAGCATACATTGTATGAAAAATAACACTTGTCATGCCACAAATTCTCCGGATTTATCGATGTGTCAAAGAAGCCAACTGGGCCAAAGAAGCCAACCTTATAGTATCAATATATTAGAAATACTTTGATACCATTGTTAAGTGGTAATAGAAATAAATAATGATGTAATCGGGTTGGCATGCTGATAGGAAATTTTTAATGGAACTTAACAATTTCTCAGCAGTTCTTCAAGACAGAAATTAAATGCCTTCTGTTTGATCTCTCTTATTGAGGATAAAATACTTTTTAAAGACTTATTTTCATTACTATTTTTAGTTCTGTGGGGGGCACACTTGTGTGTGCTTGTGTGTATATGTGTGTTTGTATGTGTGTGCGTGCATGCACACAGCCCAGAAGCAGGATTGACAGGTAGTTGCGGGCCCCTGGATATGGTGCTGGGAACTGAACTCAGGTCCTCTGCACTTCTCATTGGTGAACCACCTCGCTGTCCCTACATGCTTTACTTTAATGTTTGTTTTAGTATTAGAATTAGATCATTTGATAAATTTATTATAACAAAGCAAAAGGGAAAACTAACGGATTTTCCTAGTTTTTTTCACAACACTAAAACAAATTTTAATAACAAGCTTTTATGTAAGTCGAGTCATTGCCTTAAGACTCTGCCACCTCTTATCACTTAAGTGTGTTGTAATATTTTTAAACTGAATTAAGAAGTGATATCACTTTAATCCCAGTATATCACTATATTTGAAGATGTAGGCTAAGACTTATATTTTCACCTCAAATTTTTATCATTTGTAAAATGTAAAATGTAGGAGGCTAGGTATGGTACCGCATGCCTGTAATCCTAACACTAAAGTGGGGGGGAGAAAAGGAGGGAGGGAGGGAAGAACCAAGGGAGGGAGGGAGGACAGGGGACTTCACAAGTAAATCAGTGATGATATGGACCTGTGATTATTTCGGGTCTACTTATTGAAACAGCCAAGAACAATACCTAAATAGATGAGCTTCACTGTGTTCAAATAAACTTGACTTAAAAAAAAAACACACAATATAGATTTCACGTTATAAAATATTCTCCATAGCTTTAAAATCATTCCGAGCCCATAAAACATACAGGCCTTGAGGAAGATATGGCATAACGACTAATACAAGTCTATGGGTACATTGTTTATATTTTTATTAATTACAGTTTATTCACTTTGTATCTCCCCCTGTACCTCCCCTCCCAATCCCATCTTCCCACTTCCCCACCCCTGTCCCTCTCCCAGTCCACTGATAGGGGAAATCCTCCTCCCCTTCCTACTCTATCAGGTCTCATCAGGAGTAGCTGCATTGTCTTCTTCTGTGGCCTGGTAAGGGGGAAGTAATCAAAGAGCAGGCCAATCAGTTCATGTCAGAGACAGTCCATGTCTCCATTACTATGGAGGCCACTTGGACACTGAACTGTCATAGGCTACCTCCATGCAGGGGTTCCGGGCCATCTCCATGAGTGGTCCTTGGCTGGAGTATGAGGTTTAGAAAAGACCCCTGTGCCCAGACTTTTTGGACCTGTTGCTGTCCTTGTGGAACTCCTGTCCTCTCCAGGTCTTACTATCTTCCACATTTTGTAAGATTCCCTGCACTCTGCCTGAGGTTTGGCTATGAGTCTCAGCATCTGCCTCAATACCCTGCAGGGGAGAGCCTTTCAGAGGCCTTCTGTGGTAGGATCCTGTCCTGTTTCCTGTTTTCTCCCTCCTCCGATGTCTATCCTCTTTGCCTTTCTGAATGGGGATTGAGCATCTTAGCCAGAGTCGTCTTTCCTGATAAGCTTCCTAAGGTGTACAGATTTTGGTATGTTTAGCCTATATTATATGTCTAATATCCACTTATGAGTGAGTATATACCCTGTGCATCTTTCTCCTTCTGGGATACCTCACTCAGGATGATCTTTTCCAGTTCCCACTGTTTACCGGAAAATTTCATGATTTCCTTGCTTTTTATCGCTGAGCAATATTCCATTGTGTAGATGTGCCACAATTTCTGCATCTATTCCTCAACTGAGGGGCATCTGGGCTGTTTCCAGCTTCTGGTTAGTACAAATAAAGTTGCTGCAAACATGGTTGAGAGATGTCCTTGTTGTATACTTGAGCGTCTTTTGGATATATGCCTAGAAGTGGTACAGCTGGATCTTGAGGAAGCACTATTCCTAATTGTCTGAGATAGTGCCAGATTGATTTCCAAAGTGGTTGTATAAGTTTACATTCCCACCAGCAGTGGAGGAGGGTTCTCCTTTCTCCACATCCTCTCCGGTATGTGTTGTCACTTGAGTTATTCATCTTAGCCATTCTGGCGGGTGTAAAGTGAAATCTCAGGGTCGTTTTGATTTGCATCTCCCTGATGACTAAGGACATTGAACATTTCTTTAAGTGTTTCTCTGCCATTTGACATTCCTCTATCAAGAATTCTCTGTTTAGCTCTGTACCCCATTTTTTAAATGGATTACTTGATTTGTTGCTGTTTAACTTCTTGAGTTCTTTATATGTACTGGATATTACCCCTCTGTTAGATATAGGGTTAGTGAAGATCCTTTCCCAATCTGTACGCAGTCATTGTGTTTTGACAACAGTGTCCTTTGCTTTACAGAAGCTTTTCAGTTTCATGAGGTCCCATTTGTTGATTGTTGCTCTTAGAGCCTGTGCTGCTGCTGTTCTGTTTAGGAAGTTGTCTCCTGAGCCAATGAGTTCAAGGCTCTTCCCCACTTTTTCTTATAACAGGTTTAGTGTGTCTGGTTTTATATTGAGATCTTTGATCCACTTGGACTTTAGTTTTGTGCAGGTTGATAAGTATGGATCTATTTGCATTTTTCTACATGTAGACATCCATTTAGACCAGCACCATTTGTTGAAGATGCTATCTTTTTTCCATTGAATGGTTTTGGCATCTTTGTCAAAAATCAGGTGTTCATAAGTGTGTGGGTTTAATTCCAGGTCTTCTATCCAATTCCATTGATCCACTATTCTGTTTCTATGCCAGTACCATGCAGTTTTTATTACTGTTGCTCTATAATACAGCTTGAGATTAGGGATGGTGATACCTCCAGAAGATCTTTTATTGTAGAGGATTGTTTTAGCAATTCTGGGTTTCTTGTTATTCCATAGGAAGTTGAGAATTTTTCTTTCAAGGTATGTAAAGAGTTGAGTTAGTAATTTGATGGGAATTGCCTTGAATCTGTAGATTGCTTTGGTAAGATGGCCATTTTTACTATGTTAATCCTGCCAAGCCA